GAGAGAGAGAGAGAGAGAGAGAAAGAAGAGAAGGGAAAGAAGTGATTAGAGCCAACACAACCACAATCAGCACCCCACCATCCCCACCACCAACGACAACCCCTCTACCCATCACCAACGCCCCCCCCCTATCACCACCACTAAAACTCTACCGCACCGCCACCGCCATCACCACCACCATCACCACAACCACCACCTCCGCCAACACAAACACACCTCTCCCCACCACCAACACCCCAATCACCACCCATTAAAACGCTGCCACCACCACCACCGCCGACACCAACAACAAAAAACAACCACACACACAAAAAAACCAACTGCTGACGGATTCCGAACCCACGACCTTCTGGTTGCAAGCTCGACAACCTAATCACTAGAGTCACCGACGCCACAGTTCCTTCCTCCCCTCCCATCTGCCAAAACCGAACCACCCTTCTCTTCTCAGAATGTATCGCTTTCAAACCTTCACGACACTCGAATGAACAGCCTCTTTTTCTTTAGCTCAAAAATAATATTATTATTCTCAAGGAATACCATAAATCACAGCATGTTTTCTCAACGAAATAAAACCCCAGCCACCGTACGATGACAGCCAGGCACCAGCGTCATTGTCTCACGCGCCGCAAGGGTTATGAGGGGCCGCTATCACTTTTGACCATCGCATTCCTGACAGACAGTGCAATATTCCAACCTGTCGCGTTAAGCAGTTATCCCAATATTAAGGTGAAAACCCACTTTACATGGTACTTGTTGAGAGAGAGAGAGAGAGAGAGAGAGAGAGAGAGAGAGAGAGAGAAAGAGAGAGAGAGTGGTAGTTTGGTGTATGGCGAGAAATGAATGTGTTCTTGAGATCTGGCACGCAGGGTTATCGTACATCTTTCCGAGTGTCTTCCAGTTTAGTAGCTTTCAAGTGAGGGTTGACGTTAACGTACCGAAAACGTATTTTCTTTTACTTGCTGGAAAGCTTTATATTAATCTTTGAATGGTTTGAAATGAAACCAAATAGAAAAGCTGCCTACAACTGCGAGCAACGTTCTTAAAAAATATTACAAGGTCCTTATGAATTTTGCTCCTCGGTTCCTTAAATTTTTGACGTCGTGATTATTCAAGAACTTTGATTTCCGTGCCGACGTGCTTTTGTTTACTCACACAAACCAGAGAAAGGGGAGGAAATAGTACAGGAATCAGATAGTGTCTGTTTGACGCCTGGAAAATGTCTCACTAGAAAGGTGTTGTTTTTTGTTTACCCCCCCCCCCCAGCCGATGGAGGACGCCACTGGTAAATTCAACTTCATTGCTGCTGCCCCTCTTTTATTTCAGGGGGTGGATGGCGGGTGCTGTGGTGCTGTTTGCTCTTTCTTTCCTATTATCACGCCTCCCTTATCACGCCTCCCTTTTTTGTTTGTGTATGTCTCTTGTAACACTTTTGATTTTCAACATTTATACGACATCATTGTGTTGTAAGTGCCGTAAAACTCTGACTGATACTAAAACTAAACTTTTGTTTCGGTCACTGTCTGTGTTGCCATGGTTTCTTTCACTCTAATTGACTGTTACTATGTCGATGTACGATTCCTTTACTCCAACTCTTCCTTTCTGAAATGAATGTGTAAGATTTAGTTTTGCAAGTGATGAGAGCGAATGGATAGGTGTCACTGGTAGGTCCTAAGTCTTTTCTTCCCGTCGATTGTCTCTTGTCTGTTTCCCTTTCCTTTTCCTGCTTTGAATAAATATTATTGGTGGGTGGTTGGTGGGTGCTGTGGTGTGGTTTGCTCCTTCTTTCCTATCAAACATCTATCGTCCTTATCTCCCCTCCTCCTTTTTTGTGTTTGTTACTCTCTTGTAACACATCTTATCTTCTGGCGCTCATGTGGCCTTATGCAGTTGCGAGTGCCGTGAAACTCTTACTAAAACTAAACTAAAAAATGTTATTGTGTCAATATTACTCTCCCAAAGACGGTGGTTGGAGGACTATAGTGGTAGGTCGTTCTTATTTTCTTTCACTTTGTTGTTTCTGTCTGCAATTTTTTTCCTTCCCCGTGCACCGAATCTTCATCATTGTATCGGTGTGCTTTTCCTTGCTCATACAATTACAAAGAACAACTAACTGTACCAAGAGAAGCGGTCGGTGATTAGCGGGTGCTCTGGTGTGGTTTGCTCGTTCTTTCTTATCAAACATCTATCGTCTTTATCCCCCCTTTTGTGTTTGTTACTCTCTTGTAACATCTCTTATCTTCAAACAAACAAATGTAAACTTTGGCACCTCCGTGAACTAATTGTGTTGTAAGTGCCGTAAAACGCTTACTTAAACAAACAAGAAAGATGAACGACTTACCTGGTAGAGTTCCTGCAGAACTCCAAGCACTGCCACGAAGAAGGCCGAGGTGTAGCGCTTGTCGCCCGGCGGGGGAGCGCACACCAGCAGCGGCCGCTTGGACCCCGCGAGTAACGCGCGCCTCACGCCTCGGGCGGCCGCCTCAGCAAAGGTGCGCACGTCGTTCTCGTCCCCTTCCAGACTGCCCACACTGGCGTAGACCAGCCGCTTCGAGGCGACCACGTCGGTGAGCGTGACTGCGGGCGAGGTGCCGAACACCTTGTCGGCGGCGAGATAGCGCTGGATGACCTCCTTGACGGGGACAAGGTTCTCGCCGATCAGATTGTCCGGCGTGTCCGTGATGACCACCACGGCGTCAAAGTCGGCGCTCTGCACGTCGGTGGTCAGGGTGATGTTTTGTTGGTCCAGGTGTAGATTCACCGCGTCATTGAGTACGTTTGTCGGCGTCTCCTCAGTCACTAGCTGGTCCTTCTCGATGACGAAGGCGGTGGGAGCGGCCACCCAGGAGGCGAGGAGAAGCAGCAGTAGCGGCGGCGGCGGCGGCATCTTGACGCTCCGCGTGGGAGATGAACAGGGCGCTGTTGTCTGAAATAGATTCTGGTTTTTAGAACTATACGTTTTGCCGTTCGCTGCTGTGTTGATTTTTAACTGCTCGAGCTCCTCATGCAGTGTGTGGCACGCGGCGTCCTACTCTTTCTGTGACCGGAGGGCGGAGGAGAGACGAACAACTGGAAGCCCCTGACAACACGCGTGCACGTGCACGAGCTCTTGTGGTTGACAGACCTGCTGCGGGGTCCTGTCGCTGCATTATATAACACTCAGAGACACACGCACACTCAGAATCCTGTACAGTCACATATACAGAGACCCTCACAGAAACAGGACTTGGCCAACGTCCGAACGATATTTTTCCCCTGTTCCTTTCTACAGATTCCAACAATCACAGAATTGGGAAAAAAGATAAAACGCGTAATGTATGAGCTTTTGACGACGACTTTGTACCGCCTTCAATGACCAGTTCCTCTCTCTGAGCTTAGCTCAACGGCCAGGTTATTCGCCAAGCCAGGAGACTGAGTCTCAAGTGGATTGTTTACTTGTCTGACCCTCGAATGGGATCGGAAAAAGACTTAGTCCTGTTGAAAACCCCCCACCAATTTTATTCGGACAAAAAAAAAAACGGGGGTTGGG